TCCTATATGGTCCTTCCACCCCTCCAAAAAGATTAAATGTGGAAGCACCATATTTTTTTAATGGTTCTTCTCTTCTCCAGTGGTATAACTTGCCACATTTATTTTTACTGATTTCTACAAGTACCAAGCCTATTTCTGAACTTTGTTTTGTTCTACAGAAATCCACCTAGTTATGTTCTAGTACTATATTCATCCCTGAGTTTCAGCAGTTCTAAATTCTTTAAGTAAATTTTCTCAAATGCTCAAATTCTTTAAGCAAATTGTATCTGATTTAAATATTTTTCTTTCTTTTTCTTTTTTCTTTTTGTTTTTGGGTCACGCCTTGTGATAATGGGGCTACTCCTGACTCTGCGCTGAGGATTCATTCCTTCTTTATCAAAACTTTTATCAAATTAAAAAATTTAGTCTTGTTTTTTTCTTGTTGCTGTTAATTATTATATATAAATAAATTTATAAAAAAATTTTTTTTAAATGTAGGAGTACTGCTATTTATTCAGCCACTGATTAGCTGATTGAATTGGGCATGAACTCCACCTTACTTTTTTTTTCATAATTTTATTTATTTTTTCTTCTTATATTTATTTATTGAATCACTGTGGGAAAAGTTACAAAACTTTCAGGTTTAAGTCTCGGTCATACAATGATCAAACACCTTTCCCTTCAGTACTCATTTTTCACCACCAAGAACCTCAGTATACCCCCCCTCCCACCCCTCCCAATGCCTGTGAGGCAGATGATTTCTACTTAATTCTTCTCTACATTGATTACGTTCATTATTTCGACAAAAGATGCACCATTATTGTTCGGAATTTCCCCCCCAACAATCAGAATTGCTGAAAAGGCATTGTGAAATACTTTGTTTTCTATAGCTGGTTATGAGAATCATATAATGATTTTGGATTTCTGCAAAGAGTCAGATAATTACGAGATTGGTTTCTGTGCATCTGGTGTTATGGCTGTGCTGGAGAGCCACTCACGGAGGGCAACTCGGTAGGGTGTGAAGGATGAGCCGGTACTGCCCCCCCTTCCTATGAGACTGCAGTTGCCCCATCACTGCTGGCTCATACCTGGCTTACCTATAAGCTCTGAGAGGGCAGACACCTTGCTGCTGGGTGGGGGGCGGGAAGGCGGAAGGAAGCAACACCCTTTCCCTCCCAGGGAGGCATGGCGCTGTAGTTTAATGCATGGACCATTCACTTCCTGCCGCAGGCTGCTGGGCTCTGGACTAAGTCCTTTTGCCTCTAGAGCCATGGCCGTGCCAGAGAGCCACTTATGGGAGGCAACTCGTGGCCTCGGTAGGGCATGAAGGATGAGCCGGTACCGTCCCCCTTCCCATGAGACTGCAGTTGCCCTGTCACCACTGGCTTATACCTGGCTTTCCAATAAGCTCTGAGGCAACAGCCACCTTGCTGCTGGGGTGGGGGGGGGGGAGGCGGAAGGGAGCAACACCCTTTCCCTCCCAGGGAGGCATGGCATGGTGGTTTAATGCATGGTCCATTCGCTTTTCTTCTGCAAGCTGCCGGGCTCTGGATTAAGTCCTTTTACCTCCGGAGCCATGGCTGTGCCGGAGAGCCGCTTGTGGGGGGCAACTCGTGACCTCGGTAGGGTGTGAAGGACGAGCCGGTACCGTCCCCCTTCCCATGAGACTGCAGTTGCCCCATCACCACTGGCTCATACCTGGCTTTCCAATAAGCTCCGAGGTGGCAGCTACCTTGTATGCGGTCCAGATGCATTTCTACCAAAAGCTGCTGGGTTTTGAGATTTGTCTCTTGAGTCTCTGGGATCTTGGCCATTAAGCAGCTTGATCAGCAGCCAGAGAGGCTTTTTGTAGGCAACAACTCGGGGTGTAGTTGGTATGGGGAGGAAAGGGCCGGTTCCACCCCCATCTGGTGAGGCCCCGTGTGTCTCGTCACTGCAGGCCCAAACCTGACTGTCCAGTGACTTCTGGAGGATGGCAGTCACCAGGCCGCCAGGGGGAACAGGCCAAGGCACAGAACCTATTCTCACCTGGAGTGGCCCAGCACCAGTAACTTACTGCAGAAACAGGATGCATTTCTGCAAAAAGCCTTTGGGTTCCAAGATTCGTTTCTGAGTCTCTGGGATCATGACCATTAAGCAGTTTGATCAAGAACCAGAGAGGCCATGCCTCCAATTATATAGCTGAGCCAGAGGTCGTTTGTGAGTGTGTCTTCCACATACCTAACTTTTGGCCGTTTACTTTCTTGGTAAACTTTGCCCCAAGTTTTTGGGGTCTGGCCAAAGTCACAGCTGCAATTTTGGGGTATTTGAAAGTCTGACGGTGCCATCAGGCTGCTGATGCACTCGTCTCACAGGTACAGACCTGCTGGCGGCACCATACCTCCCACCCCCCACCCCCCAAATTTTTTTTAACCTTCTCTGTTTCGTCTCCAAGAGGACATCTTAAGAAGACCCACACAAAGAGGCAGGGACTCAGTCCCACAGTAAGATTAATGCTTAAGCCTTCCTCTTTCGGATGACTAGGTTCCTCCTTGGCCCAAGCATGTGATTGGTGTTGTTAGTGAGAACAGTGGGTCTTCTTTGTCCCCAGTTCACCACTACTGGAAATGGGGTTTGGGGTTTGGGTGGTAGGGGTGAGGAGTATAGGCCCAGGAAGTTACCTCAGAGATACAGGACAGAACAGTGATTCAACAGGCAGATTCAGAAAATTAAAAATAAGGTATTGTGTATAGAATCTGTAAAATTCTTGTTATTTGGGGGACAATTCCCCCTCATTTTTTAAATTGATACAGTAAAAGTTATTGAATGTACTATGTGCTCTTTCCACTATTCCTTACCAGAGAAATAACCACCTGCTGCTCTATATCATGTCTCCACAAATTAACCAGGACTGAAAGAATGTAAGGCTGAACTTGGGCAGTTTGGCTTGGGTTGAGGGAAAGGTGCCTCTAGCATTTAACCTTTCCTCATTATTCATCTCTTGAAAATTTTAAACCGCCTATACAGTTGCTAAAATTGAAATAGGGATCCCCCCCCCCCTTTTTGCCTAATTTAAAGTGAAAAGGCCCTTCCTCCTCTTGCATCCTCCGCAACTCTTTAAGTCACTGATTTGAGAATAAGGATTCTTTGGCTTTGACTTAGCCTCAGCCAGAGTATCAACATCCAGCTCCTACTCAGGAGTGATTTCTGGACTATCCAGTTCAGCTCTTTCGTGTTCAGTGAGAGCTTACCTACCATCTGCAGCTGAGATCTAAATTTGAATCAAGGCCCACATAGACTAAAACTTTGGGGATATCTTAGCCCCTGTCTATGCTGATTTTCTATATTATTTTTCACTCGTTCCCAGATAGCAAGGTCTATGGTGCCTTCGTCTGGGAACCACGGGTTGTATTCTTTGACAACCTCCAAGCACTTAATTATTTTCTTGAGAGGCACTTTAGCCCCTTGTTCAGAAAGAATTTGGCGTAGAAGCAAAGCAAAAGTAGAAGTGTGAGAAGTTGTTTGTCCCATCCTGGAGAGTCCAGTTAATTCACATTGCTGCAGTGCTCATTAGCGCCACCAACTGATCCTTCAGCTCCCTATTCTGGTGCCAGCTTTTCCATCTCAAGAGGATGTGGGACCTGGGATGGCGCAGTGTGCTAGGAGGGGACAGATGACTACATGTCCAGCATGCAGTGTCTTTATTCCAAATCATCAGTGGATATATACTTTTCATGATCAGAAAACCAAGTTCCTACTACTAATAAAGGCAATTATCTTATTATAATAAATCACATAACATTTCCTTCTTTGTCATCAGTCACATACAATCACTTTTTAGTTAATCTGTTAACCACCATAATGCATCAAGTTGCCAATCGAAAGATGCAAGGTGGGGGGCCTTTCCCAAGTCGGGGAGGCACAGGGCTTTTCTTATGCTCAATGATTCCACTTCTGCAGTCAATTCCCAGACCTGAATCAGCCCATTGTTACCATCTCAAGGGGCTCAGGCATTTCCAACATTTTTCTTTGGCCATCACCTACCCACTTGTTTTTGGGATTATCGGCTTCCCTGTGTTATTTGAAAGCGTTTTTTTCTAGTTTCATAATCTAGCCTTTGCATAATACATGACAGGGAAAAGAGCCTCAAGTTAGTTGGTTAGTTTGTTTTATGATCTTTTGTGGGGCCTTTTTCTGCCTTCATTCTCAGTTCCAAAATGATGATTCAAGGTCATATATACCTGAGAGTCCTAAGATGTACATTAATAAATGAAAAGTAATACAATAAAAAAAAATGACAGCATAACTATTTTCTTGGGGGGGCACACTTGGTGTTGCTCAGGGAATACTCCTAGCTGTGTGCTCTGAGGTCACTCCTGGTGGGGCTCATGGAGCCATAGTGTTCCAGAAATTGAACCAGATTGACCATGTGCAAGGCAAGCTATACTATCTCCTTGTCCTCACAAATCTGAATTTTAAATGGTGAAAAATCAAAAAAGTCATAGCAAATGAGGATTACAGAAGTGCAAGAATGATTGCATTAATGTGTAATTTAGAACTGTCAAAAGAACCTGTTGGTTTTAGCTGCTTTGATTAATATGTTTTCAGTTCAGAGGCTTCTATTTTTCTGGAATGGGATAAGAACATGCTTTACTCATATTTTTCAGACTTGGAGTGTGTCCACATATTCAAGGAAATTCCTTCAAGGCAGGATATTTATGAAGAAAAATTATCTCATACTGTTATGGGAAGACTGTCAAGCTCTGACCTTGAATGTTCCCTATTAGGAGAAAACTGGAAGTGTGAAGATCAGTTTAAGAGGGAGATGGTAAGTCATAATATGCACTTTAGACAAGAGACTCTTACTCATATAAATACTCTTATTGAGGAAAGGGACCTTATTAACAAATCTGGGACAGTTTTCCACCTAAATTCATTATCTTGTATAAAACAGGTATTGCCTATGGATGAGAGGGTATATAATTTTGACACAGATAAGAAAGGTTTAAAAACTCTTTCGTTTGCAAAAAATCACAGAGAAGTTTATGTAGAAAAGAAATTTTTGAAATGTAATGACTGTGAGAAAACTTTCAGCAAAATTTCAACGCTTACTCTTCACCAAAGAATTCATACTGGAGAGAAACCCTATGAATGTATTGAATGTGGGAAAGCCTTTAGCCAGAGTGCCCACCTTGCTCAACATCAAAGAATACATACAGGAGAAAAACCCTATGAGTGTACTGAATGTGGGAAAGCCTTCAGCCAGAATGCACATCTTATTCAACATCAGAGAGTTCATACTGGAGAAAAACCATATCAGTGTATGCAGTGTAATAAAGCCTTCAGCCAACTTGCACATTTGGCTCAACATCAGAGAGTTCATACTGGAGAAAAACCCTATGAATGTATTGAATGTGGGAAGTCTTTTAGTGATTGTTCATCCCTAGCTCATCACCGAAGGATTCACACTGGGAAACGGCCCTATGAATGTATTGACTGTGGGAAAGCTTTCAGACAGAATGCCTCTCTTATACGTCATCGGAGGTATTTTCATACTGGAGAGAAACCTTTTGATTGTATTGATTGTGGGAAAGCTTTCACAGATCACATAGGGCTTGTTCAGCATAAGAGAATTCATACTGGAGAGAGACCTTACAAGTGTAGTATGTGTGAAAAGGCTTTTAGCCATGGCTCATCTCTTACTGTGCATCAGAGAATTCATACAGGAGAGAAACCTTATGAATGCAGTATTTGTGAAAAAGCCTTTAGCCACCGTGGCTCACTTACCCTTCATCAGAGAGTTCATACTGGAGAGAAACCCTATGAATGTAAGGAGTGTGGGAAAGCGTTTCGGCAGAGCACACACCTTGCTCATCATCGAAGAATTCATACTGGAGAGAAACCTTATGAATGTAAGGATTGTAGCAAAACTTTCAGCCAGAATGCTCACCTTTCCCAGCATCAGAAAACACATACTGGAGAGAAGCCTTATGAATGTAAGGAATGTGGTAAAGCCTTCAGTCAAATTGCACACCTTGTTCAACACAAGAGGGTTCATACTGGTGAGAAGCCTTATGAATGTATTGAATGTGGGAAGGCCTTTAGTGATGGCTCCTATCTTGTTCAACATCAAAGACTGCACACTGGCAGGAGACCCTATGAGTGTCCTGAATGTGGAAAGGCATTCAGGCAGAGGGCTTCTTTGATCTGTCACCAAAGGTGTCATAAGGGTGAGAAACCTTATGAATGCAATGTTTGTGGGAAAGCCTTTAGCCATCCTAAATCCCTTGCTTTACATCAAAGAATACATACAGGAGAGAAACCTTATGAATGTAAGGAATGTAGCAAAGCCTTCAGTCAGATTGCCCATTTGACACTCCATAAGAGAATTCATTCTGGAGAAAGGCCCTATGAGTGTAAAGATTGTGGGAAAGCCTTCAGGCAAAGTGTACACCTTGCTCATCATCAGCACATTCATACTTAAGAGTTAACTACAATTTAACCACAATTATTCCTTTCTCAGACCCAAACCACCAGGTTGTGTCGTTTCAGTCTTCTAAATACCTCTAGAATATTCTTTTTTTCAGTTTATGACCCATCATTGTTTCAGTCAGTTATCACATATGAATGTAATCTTTTTCTTTATTTTTTTTGTCAAGTGGATTTTTAACACTAGCCAACTTACTATTTTTTAAAAATAGTGTACAGTATATTTTCCAAATTAAAATATTATTTTGATGAGTGCAGTGTCAGATGATCTATGTAAAGGATTTAGCATACAATTCTTGGCCTATAATTAGTGCCAAGGTAAGGTACTAGATTCAAGTTCATCTGTAAATAAATGAGCCATAGATCAAGACTGAGAAAACCACAGATTTAAGCATAGACAGAGGGCTTTTTACTGTCCCTTTGGCACAAAATAGTAACTTACTCAGAATGCAGGGATTTTAATATTATGCAAGATAACCACAGTTGAAAACATGGAGTATTATTGGTGAGGAGCTCTCACTTCAGCTGGCATTTGGAGGTGAGAATAGCCCTATTGGAATGCAAACATTTGGTAGAATTTAGGACTAACCAGGGAATACTATTAGAAGCAAAGCTAACAAGCTAGAAAACGTGATAGATAAATGGGGGGGAGAAAAACCTGAAAACAGCTCAACACTTTGTTTTCTTTTTTTGGTGAAAAAATATCATAAGTAATTCTTTTCTGTTTACATTATTCTTTCCAGAGTCTAGGAGAATGTTGCTTAGTACAGCACATGCCTTATGTGTTTAAGGCCCTGAATTCAATCCCCCAGCACTGTAAAAAGGGAAAATTCCAAGGCAGTAGTTTTCTATTGCTGGTTCTTGCACCGCTGCCTGTCTACAGCTATAAAAAGGTTGAGAGAATTCTTGTACCACACTGTTTAGTAACAAATGTGCTCAGACAAATACCAGTCCTTGGTGTAAAAGGCATGAAAAACATTCAGAGCCATACAGTGAACACAGGAAATCTTCACATCTTATTCTGTGAAACTTGTAAGAATGATGCTGTAAGAGAAAATACATACTTCTCTTTAGAATGCAAAAGTTAGACTTTTGAAAAGAAATTTTTTTTGAGGGAGCCACATGTGTCAGTGTTCAGGGGATTTTCTGTGTTCAGGGATCATTCCTGGAAGGGCTAGGGGGACCATATGTATTTCTGGAGGTCAAAACCTGTGCACCAGTGTGCAAGGTAAGTACCTTACCCACTATATTATCTCTTCAGTCCTTTAGTATTTTTAAGGGAATTAGATGTATCTCTGAGTAAAAATCAGTTTAATAAAGACATTTCTCCTCTTGTTAAATATGTAGTTTATTGATATCCAATAAAAATTCCAGTATATTACTGATATAGGATAACATTGGTTTGTGTTTTCTCCTCTGCCACAAGGAGCTTAGGTTTATTGGGTTACACCCATCACAATGATCCTGAAGCACTCCCATTTCCTCGATATTCATCTTTAACTTCTCTGAGCTTTGCTTTCTCTATCTGTTAATCACTTATCCCCTAATCAGACCTCGTAACTTGTAAGGTCAGATCCTTCTAAGGAGACTGGATTTTGTATTTGTAAGTGAAATAATTGCTTTTTCTCCTTTCCTTATGTCCTTTGCATAGTTCACTTTAGAGCAGTGTTCTTTTTCTATAGACACAGGAAGACAGTTAATGCTGTGCTTTTGTAACTTGGGAGTTGATTGACTCCAAATAATATTTATTCCTGGGCATGTCATATTTACTCGACTTGGCCTCAGTTACCCTTAGTTCCTAGCACCCCAGAAGTAGTGTCCCAATGAAGGGACTAGATGGACCCAGGGAAAACTGGAAGCTGCCCTGGCATCGAAATGGGACAGGCCAAGTGCCATAAAACTTATAATAAGTTAAGAGCATGGTTGTGAACAAATTCTGTCATGACCCAAAGAGAAGTGACTGGACAAGGACCCTGCTAGGGTTAGGAAGGACTAATCTGGCCTGAGGATGTAGTCTGGGATCTATAGCAAGATTTCCCTAGGAGAGCCACCCTACAAACTTTATATCTTATTGTGTCCATACAAAATGATTAGAAAGATTATTAAGTAAATCTAAGATGATTGTTTATGGCCTAAAGAAAGGAGAAGTATGTCCTTATGTATTCTGCCTTATATTCTGCCCTTGAGCGGATCTTCTAGCAGATCTTTTTTTAAGAAGAGCTTCCTGGGAAGGAAGGGAAGGGCTTTACAGTGTTGATTGTGCTATTGTTTAGTTGTTACCCCCAATTCTTGGTGGTTGAGCTCTAGACTAAGGCTAGCATGAGGGACAGGTAGAGACGGGAATGAGTGGAGTGTGAGACAGGTAGAGACTGGAATGGAGTGCGCAGTGGGATTGAAATAAGTGCATGGGGAGAATGGAATAAATGCTGGGGCAGAGATTGGAATAAATGGCGACTGATCACCAAGCAGCCTGGCGGCCCTGTTTCCTCCTCCATGCATTTGTTGGTGGCATCTGTGGTGGTGTCTGCAGGCTGAGTGGTGAAGCAACTCATGGCCACCAAATTCACGTGGCAGGAGAGTGCCTCACTTATTTATTTTTTGATTATACACCTTTGGGGGTGGATATGGCTCATGTGGTAGAATACATACCAAGCATGTGTAATACCCGGAGTTTGATCCCAACCACTTCCAGACTCCCTCTCCTAAGCATTGCTGCCTCAGTACTGTATCACTGACCCAGGCATTGTCCTGTGTGGTACATATGAAAATGTATTGTTATTGCCGTTAAAGATCTAATTGGAAAAGACCAAAAGTTGAAATAATAGGATATATTCCTATCATGATGAGAAATGGAGCTTTAAAAAGGAGCTGCAGAATGGCTACATGTGTACACCATTTGAGTATGCTTATTAAAAACCAAAGTGTATTGTGGTTGACCAAGGTGTAACGACAGAAAACAATATAATGATAATCCACTGGAAATCATTATTAGAGGCAGGGGTTAAGGGGTGAGCATATTTGCCATATTCATTTAATTATATATTGCTGTTAAAGATTGTATAGAGCCATAAAAGAGCTATGCTGTACTAACAGAAGATTTTTTCGGAGCTGTATTCTAATTATTATAATTTTGAAAGTAAAATATGGCATATTTTCTTTGCCTAGTTTTTTCTTTCCTCCTTATGACTACACCATCCTTCTTTTCCCTTGAGGAACTGAATGTACCCTCCCATGTGGTTCCAATGTACTAGCCAGTCAGATCAAATTCTCTTTGGAGTTTGAAAGGATGTGTGTCATTTAATAGCAGCTCTCTAAAGGGATAATGATGTTCTCCTGATTGTGATTGTAGGGGCTTAAACACTAATTTTGTGTTTTATAAGGTTATAATTCTTCAAATTATCCATTAATCCTTCTTAGATTTCATTTTCAGCATATATTACTCATTTTCTCAGCAATAAAATACAAAATTTGGTATGAGCATTGGTATTGACAATAGAATCCTTGAAAAATTTGAGGTGTTAGAAAATGGGTATTATGTGAGATGGGGCAAGTAATACTCCCATCTTTTCTGTTTTCTTTCATTTTTGGTTTTTGGGCCAGAGCCAGCAGTGCTGAGCTCTGGGCTCTGGAATCATTCCTGATGGGCTTGGGGGATAAGTGATGCTGAGGTTGGAACCTGAGTTGGCAGCATGCAAGGCAAGTGCCTCATCCACTGTACTATCTGGCTAGCCCAGACCTTGTGTATTTTCTGATCTAGGTAAATTAACTCAGATTGTGCACAGGACAGACACACAATTAGTGTCATCTGAAATGAATGTACAGATCAAGGGTTCTGGATAATTAAAAAGGATGAGAAATGCTAAATGCAAAGAGTATGTTGCCTTTGTGTGTGTGTGTTATTTTTTATTTTGGGGCCACACCCAACGATGTTCTGGGTTTATTCCTGACTGTACTCGTAGATCATTCCTGGAGTGCTTGGAAGACCATATGGCATATTAGGGATCAAACTGGGGTCTGTCGAGCGAAAGGCAAGCACCCTCCCAGTGTACTATTGGCTCCAGCCTCTTCTTTTATGTTCTTGTTGATTTCACTTCAGGGGAAAATCCAACTGTTTACTCTTAGTTGTGTGCTCAAGAATTACTTCCTGCGGGGCTTGGGGAACCAAGCTTGGGATGCCAGGGGTTGAACTTGGGTCGGTGTGTGCGAGACAAATGCTCTTTTTTTTTTTTTTGGTGATTTTTTAAAAAATTTTTATTTATTGAATCACTGTGGGAAAGGTTACAAAGCATTCAGGTTTATGTCTCAGTCATGCAAACATCAAACACATTTCCCTTTACCAATACTTATTTTTTACCATGAAGAACCCCAATAAAACCCCACCCCCCACCCCTCCCCGTCCCTGTGAGGCAGATGAATTCTAGTTAACACTCTATCTGCTTTGATTAGATTCATTGTTTCAATAAAAGATTCACCACTATTATTTAGAGTTTACCCCCCCCCCCCCCCCCCAAATCAGACATGCTGAAAAAGCATTGTGAAGTGATTTGCTTTCTACAGCTGGGTTCAAGAATTAAATGTTGGTTTTGGATTTCTGCTATTTTACCTATTGACCCTGGAAGAATTTCTACTGAAAGTCAGATAGTTAAGAAATTGGTTTCTGTGTTCTGGAGTCGTGGCCGTGCTGGAAAGCCGCTCGCGGGGGGCAACTGTTGACCTCGGTAGGGCGTGAAGGACGGACCGGAACGCCCCCCTTCCCATGAGGTTTTAGTCGCCCCCAGTCCCCCGGCTCATACCTGCTGTCCACAAGGCTCCCATGTGGCCGCCATCTTTCTTTCCAGAGGGAGGAGGGCGGAAGGGAGCAACACCCTTTCCCCTCTGGGCAGAAATGATTGCCTGGATTAACGCATAGTCCTTTCACTTTTCTGCTCCAAGCTGCTGGGTTCTGCATTAGGTCATTGTGCTTCTGGGGCTGTGGCCGTGCTGGAGAGCCGCTCGTGGGGGCAACTGGTGGCCTCGGTAGGGCGTGAAGGGCGGACCGAAACACCCCCCTTCCCATGAGGTTTTAGTCGCCCCCACACTCCCGGCTCATACCTGCTGTCCACAAGGCTCCCATGTGGCCGCCATCTTTCTTTCCAGGGAGGAGAGGGCGAATGGGGCAACACCCTTTCCCCTCCGGCAGACTTGATGGCCTGGATTAACGCAGTCCTTTCACTTTTCTGCTCCAAGCTGCTGGGTTCTGCATTAAGTCCTTGTGCTTCTGGGACTGTGGCCGTGCTGGGGAGCCGCTCATGGGGGGCAACTGTTGACCTCGGTAGGGCGTGAAGGACGGACCGGAACGCCCCCCTTCTCGTGAGGTTTTAGTCGCCCCCCACACCCCCGGCTCATACCTGCTGTCCACAAGGCTCCCATGCGGCCGCCATCCTTCTTTCCAGAGAAGAGAGGGCGAATGGGGCAACACCCTTTCCCCTCTGGGCAGAGATGATGGCCTGGGTTAACGCATCGTCCATTCACTTTTCTGCTCTAAGCTGCTGGGTTCTGCATTAAGTCCTTGTGTTTCTGGGGCTGTGGCCGTGCTCCAAACTTAACTCTGATTTTCAGGGAGAAAGATTGGGTGGTTTACTTCTCATTGATCACTTTGTATATAGAGAGATGTCTTTTTGAGAAAAAGTCCTCGTTCCCGCATACTCGAGCTGTGTTTGTAGAGGCTTCTGGTCACCGGGGTTCCATCTGGGGGAGGCGGGATGCGGCACCTACTCCATCTGGAACTTGCCGGTGGTCTCGGCTCTTTTTGGAACCTGTTTTTTCTTTTTTTTTTTCCTCCGGGATCCCGCACCCTCCATGTGTTCCTTCTCTTATGACAAATGCTCTTTCTATCATGCCTCTCCAACCCTTGATGCAGTTGCCTGGGTAATTGCATAATTCAGATCTTGAACTTCTTGCATCAAGAAAAATATTTTTCAATCAAAGGATTTTGTGTGATAGTTTTGAAAGAATTCTTACGCTATTTGAGGCCATAGGGATAAAATTGCACGGAGGAAAGACCATTTAAGGCTACAACTAGAAAATAGCCATTTGTAAGCTAGGAAAAGAGGTCACTCTAAATCCAGTCCTACTAGCAGCCTATCTTGGACTTCTTTCCAGAAAGGTGAGGAAATAACTTGTACTAATTGACAGTTGATAATTGCTTATGACAGTTGATTAATTCACTGACAGTGTGTGATCTGTCTAGCTTGACACAATTCCCCTCCTTCCCTTTATTTATTTTTTTGGGGGGGCACTGTGGGGGTAATTGAGCCTGGGACATCCTCATACAAAGCCTTTGTTCACTCTACTTCTTTGAGCCATCTCCCTGAGTTATGATAGCCAGAGTTACTTATTTGGCTGTGGTATACCAAAGACCGTACCCCCTGGAGCAGAGATCTCAGAAGTGGGGCCAGAGATCTTGCCCAGCAGTGTGGCAGGGGGCCACAGGTCAAATTCAAACTTAAGTTTTTGCACCTTCAAGGAAGCACTCTGTCACTGTGTTCCATACTTGGGCCCTAACCTGGGACTTTTTAGTTTTTGAGCTGCATGTGACAGTTCTCAGGCAACCATGTGGTGCTGTGTATTGAACCAGGGCAGCCTGCATGCAAAGCTGTACTCAGCTCATTGAACTATTTCTCTAATACGTCTATTTAATATTTCAGCAATCTAATTAACTCATTTTCGAAGAACCCTTTTAAAAGTACCATTTGAAAGGAAGCTTGTGAAACCTTGAGTAACAGCATTAAACTCTGCCAAGGCCTGAGAAGGACCTGAGGATTTTTTTTTAATTAAAAACTTGAGTTTTTGTTATTTTGGGTTACTATCTGAACAGTATCCACCTAGCTAAGAGAGAATCCAGTCTGAAAAGATTACTACATTTTGGAATACAAAAAGTATGGAGATATTTAAAAAATAACTACTTGACAGGAAGGAGTTGGGATAAGGGGAAAGATTTGTAATAAGAGCAGAGAATTTGGGAAGAAGTTTGCTCTGTATACTATAACGTTGGATACCTGACATACGTTATCAAAATCCAGACTACAACAAAGTAGTAGGAGCTGGAGTGATAGCACAGCGGGTAGGGCGTTCGCCTTACAAGTGGCCAACATGGCCGACCCGAGTTCGATTCCTCCGCCCCTCTCGGAGAGCCCGGCAAGCTACCGAGAGTATTCGATATGCCAGACACAGTAACAACACAGTCTCCAATGGAGACGTTACTGGGCCCGCTCGAGCAAATCGACGATCAACGGGAGGGCCTTTACAACAAAGTACACCTTGGTGCACTTTGCATCATGCTTATGCATCAAGATGTACTCATCAATCCTAATGTACCGCTTTACTGTACGATAGTAATACAGGAAATTGTGCTTGTGTGCATGTACATGCCTATCTGTAGAGGCACATACTTGGATTCTCGTGTACTTAATTTTTTTGGTTTTGGCATTACACCCAGCTTACTCCTGGCTCTGTGCTCAGAAATCGCACATGGTAGGGCTTGGGGGACCCTATGGGGTGCTGGGAATGGAACCCAGGTGGGGTGCATGCGAGGCGCTCCCTGCTGTAGTTGGCTCGGCTCCTCTCATATACTTTGGTACTATTGAGGGCCCGGGAGGAGCACATATTACTTAGAGCACCTGCTGAAGTGTAAGTCCCTGAGTTTTAAACCCTCTGGTACACGTGCTGAGTTTGATCGTGGCAACTGTTGTTTGAGCCTGTGAGCCCCACTGTTTGCAATGCCCAGGTGAGTGTGAACACTAGGACAATGGGTGTGTCCCTTTAGCACCACAGTGACAGTGTCTCCTGGGCTGGAGTAGAGGACAGGGTTACAGGGCTTGCCATGTATACGGGATCCCTCCGCATCCCAGCTTCTTGCCAAACCCAATTACACCCTCTTTCCTCTTCCCACATTCCCTTTTCCTTGTAGTTCTTCAGTTTTTTCCTCTAACCTCTTCAATCCTTCCCTTCTCCGTTCTTCTAAAAATTTTGTTTTGTTTTGTTTGGACACACACCCACTCAGGGATCGCTCCTGGTGGGCTCTGGGGACCATATGGGATTCCTGGAATCCAACTCAGGTCAGCCGTTTTAAGGCAAAAATGCCTGACCCGCTTTGCCATCTTTCGGTCCCTCTTGTCTATTCTGTTTGCATCACATTTCTTGGTTTCCCAAGAGACCAAGATATTCTTTCTTATTCTTTCTTTTTTCTTTCTTTTCCTCCTTTTCCTCCTTTTCCTCCCTCCCTCCCTCCCTTCCTTCCTTCCTTCCTTCCTTCCTTCCTTCCTTCCTTCCTTTTCTTTCTCTTTTTTTGGGGGGGAGGGGGCGGAGATAGGGCCTGCATAGAGCTGCCCTGCGGGGGAAGGAGGGTGTGCTTGTGAGTCTGTGCAGGTGTATGTGCCTGTCAGTGCAGGTGTGCCTGTGGGTCTGTGCAGGTGCGTGTGCACGTCTGTACAGTATGTGTGCATGGGTTTCATGTTGGGGACCTGCCTGGGGGTTGACTCCTTCAAGCACACAGGTCCCCACCCCTCTCCTGTCCCTGTAGCTTCACTCTCTGGCCTCAGTTTCCAAATCTGTGAGGGTGTTGGTGGTGGACATGCATTGCTGGGCTCAGCTGCACGCAAGATCAGCGCCTTAGCCCCCTGCTGCCTCGCCAGCTCCCACGTCTCCACTGGCTGAATTTCCTTCATCACCCATTTCTCTTTTCCTGTTCCGACCGTCCTCTCACCACCAGCCCAGTGACACTCTGCCCTCCTGCTCCTCCGCGCCTCACCCTTCTCTCTCCTCCCTCCCTTCTGCTTCCGTTCGCCATTCTCTCCCTCCGCCCCCCCCCCCCCCCCCCCCTCGCATACACACCCGCGTCCAGCTCCTCCTTCCTCTCAGCGCCGGCCAGTCACGCTCGGCCGCGCTCCCTGCGAAGGTCCCTGGGAGACGAGGCGCGTCCGTAGGGAGAGCGCGCGGGCTTCTGGGAAGCGTAGTCCAGCGTCCGCGCAGGCGCTCTGCGTCGGACTGGGCTGGCGGCGCAGATCATTGTCCAGGAGAGCTTCGGGGCGCCCCTGCGCTTGGGCTGTCAGGCGTGACCCTGGCCTGGAGCAGGGGCCTGACCCAGGTAAGGGGTACGACTGTCTGACCGTCACAGTGTAGGGTCGGGGGCCGACGGGAGAGGCCCGATTGGGATGGTGGTGTAAAAGGGAGTGGGAGGGCCGAGGGGCGTGTCCGCCCTAACTCCGGAGGCCTGGCGGAGTTGGTTGTGCCCCAGCCCAGCTGGTTGTGCCCCAGCCCAGCGTGAGAGGGTGCAGCCAGGTAGGGCTCAGAGTAGGGGAGTATAAACTGGGGAGGGGGGCTGTGAAGCCCTGGGCTTGGGAGCAGGTGAGTGTACCTATGGCCAAGCTTGTCTGTACATGTGTGTGCAAGGTGTGGCGTGCAGTTCTTTGCAGGTGTGCTTGTGAGTCTGTGCAGGTGTGTGTGCTGTCAGTGCATGCGGGTCTTTACAGGTGTGTGTGTGCCTGTCAGTGCAGGTGTGCCTGTGGATCTGTGCAGGTGCGTGTGCACGTCTGTACAGTATGTGTGTATGGGTTTCATGTTGGGGACCTGCCTAGGGGGTTGACTCCTTCAAGCACACAGGTTCCCCACCCCTCTCCTGTCCCTGTAGCTTCACTCTCTGGCCTCAGTTTCCACATCTGTGACATGGGCGGTAGGGGGCATATAATGCCCCTTCATGGGGGGTGTGGGGAGGAGTTGAGCTTTGCAGTAAAGTGGCTCCTAACGTTGCCATGTGTACTCTCTGTGTTTGGGGATGTGCATGTTCCTTCTTGCCCCCTGCCTGTTTGTGGTGCATGTGTCCGTGCAGCTGCTCCCTCGCACTCTCTCTTCCTGCCAGGCCCATCCTGTGGAGTGATGGCCCAGCTGCTGACCATCAATGCCTCGGTGAGTCTTGCCAAATGTGGGGCTTTCATCTTGAGGGACCCCCCTGACCTGCAGCCCCAGCCCAGGAGGTGTGGTGTCTCTGTGGCTCTGCTGACCTATATGCCTCTTCCCCTGTTCTGTCCCTAACTTCTAGCCTACACCTGGAGACTGAATAGCTCAGACCATCCTGGGGGCTCTTGGAGATGGGTGGGTACCCAGGAAGTGATGGCTGTGCCAGGACCCTGTAGCCAGGTAGTCCTGCTGTGTGTCTGTTTGTGGTCTTTTCCTTTGAACTTGTCTTTATGTCACGCATATTTAATGGAAGAATGTGACCCACCTGGGCCTTTTGTTTTTTGACCATCACTAACTGGTGGTAAGATGGAGCTGTCCCCACCCAAACATGACAAGGGAGGCATTTCTGCATTCATGCATCTGCTCTGATGGTTGATTTTGAAAATTATGTATTAGCACAGGCATTTTTAAATCCCCATCCAATGACTGCAAAAGGGATTTCCCTTGCCTTAAGAACTTGATGGCCATCACTGGTTTTCTTCTTTTTTTTGGATCACACCCAGCGATGCACAGGAGTTATTCCTGGCTCTGCACTCAGGAATTATTCCTGGTGGTGCTTGGGGGACCATATGGGATGCTGGGAATCAAACCTGGGTTGGCTGCGTGCAAGGCAAATGCCCTACCAGCTGTGCTGTTGCTCTAGCCCTGACTATCACTGGTTTTGACTGCATGATCAGTTTGTACAGTCATTGAGTTTGAGCTTTTAAATTTTTTTCCTTTAGGGGGGTGGAGAGAGTACAGTGGGAAAGGCACTTGCCCTGCACAAGTCACTCCAGTTTTGATCCCCAGCACTGTATATGGTCTCCTGAGGCCTTTCAGGAGTGACTACTGAGAATAGAGCCTGGCGTAAGCCCCCTGAGCACTACCACCCTAGCCCCAAAACCCCCTGCCACCAAAAAACGAAACAAAACAAAAAAAACAATCATTTTTGTAGGAGCTAGGATATAGTACATGTGTCCTACCTGGTTCTATCCCCAGCACCTTAGGGTCCTGAGCCTGCCAGGGGCAGTCCTGGAAGACCTTAAAAACCAGTAGGGGAGGCCTTGGACGCCCCTGAGCACAGCTGGGGTGGCCCAGGTGACCTCTCTACCTCTGGGTAGTGATTGTGCACATTGGACAAAAGTGGCAAGTGGGTATTTGTGACAGCTGCTTACATGGGGCAGGTAATAGATGGCAGCCAATGGACTCTTTCTCCCCATTTCTCAGTCTGGGGCTTTGGACACTAAGCAGCATCATGCTGTTTTCATTCCTGTCATCCCTGAGGGTCCCTGCCGGGTCTGTCACATGTACCCTTCAAGCCCTCCTGAAATCCCTTTGGCTACTCTGGCCACTTCTCCAGGCCTTGCTCAGTGAGTGGTTAGTGCATTTCCTCTTCACAGAAATCAGTGACCTTCAGGGACGTGGCCGTGGACTTTACCAAGGAGGAGTGGCAGCAGCTTGACCTTGCCCAAAGGAACTTGTACAGAGATGTGATGCTGGAGAACTTCCAGAACCTGCTCTCACTCGGTGAGGGCCTGCAAACCACTGCCACCTGTCCCTGGAAAGAAAGCAGAGGGGCAGATTGTGCTGTGTAGAAAGTCAAAACTTCAAAAAACAAAAACAAGCCAACTGAAGCTAGAGTTGAACTGCTGGGCACTGTTGGCCATGTGGATCACAGTTCCAGCGTTGTCATTTGGGGTTAGGCAATGATATGGGGGTGGATTGCACAGCCCTGGCTTGGTCTCAAGACCACCAGCCATGAGCACTTCTGGGAAGACACTCCCCCCCCAAAAGAAAAAAAGAATTGTAATCGCATAAAGTGTCCCTAGGGAAAATAATAGAGATCACATGAGGGATGGATGGATGGGTGAAGGGATAGAGGAAGAGATGGGAGGGTGAAGGGATTGTGAGGGCGGAAGGGGTTATTCCAGAGGTAGGGTCGGGGGCACTGGAGGAGAGAGGGCACTCTAGCCAGGGCATCTTTGTTTTTGTTTTTGGACTACACCCAGCTGTGCTCAGGGCTTACTCCTGGTTCTGCACTCAGGGATCACTCCTGGTGGGTTGGGAGGATCATATGGAATGTCATGGGTTGCCGCGTGCAAGGCCAGCTCCCTCCCTGTTGTACTATGTCTCTGTCTCCACCTTCCCCCCAGTTTTTCCCAGTGGGGTGTTTGTGGGTTCACTAGGATGTTTGGGAGGAATCCCTTAGGCTTTGAATCAGGACCTTGGGCGAGCCTGCAAGAGTAGAAACTGCCGTCTGTGAGGGGATGTTACAAAAGACAGGAGTGGCCTGTCCTGCAGGGTCAGGCTACTGGAGGAGAGAGTCTGGGACAGGACTCCAAAACAGATTTGGGGGTCCTCCACTGAGATGTAACAAGTATCACCTGCAGAGGGTGGCAGTGTTGAGTATCCCCAAGGCCTTCAGCCAGAACATGCACCTGAATGAGCTGGGGTGGGTGGGAACTACCCCAAGAGCCAGATGGGGGATGCACTGCAGCCCTCATGGTCAGGCCCCCTACCCCTGCGGGCTTTGGGGAAGCAAGCTGCGCGCAGGTTCATACCAGGAGAGGCAGAGTGTGACATCAGTGGCTGCTGGGTGATGGAGCTGTGGCTCCTGTGATGAAGGCTGGGTGGCAAGGGGCAGAACAGGTGTGGGGGAACTGTTGGGTGTGGCTGGCAGAGTGTGCCTCTGCCCCCACCCACCTTGCCACTGCAGCGCCTTCTGCCTCCTGTGTGGGCTGGGGCCCTCACCCCAACTCCACTTTCTCTGCTGCAGCAGCCCTCGTGCAGATTCCTGCTAGGGCATACCCCCACCCCACATCCACAGCAGACCCCGAATGACTGTCTGAGAACACCCTGCGCCGCTCTGCAACCCTGATCGCGAATCCCTGCTTAAAGACCTTCTCTGTCCCCCCAGACCTGGAGACCAGACCAGAGACGAAAGCACCAGAGCCGGAGGAGGACTTTCCAGAAGACAGGCCCGTCGGTGGGGGCACTTTGACCCTGGGGGGCGGGGTGGAGAGACCGCGGGTGGTTGCAGGGGCCCCGCGGGAGCGTTCCCCAAAATCAGACTCCTGGTGTGGCTGGCTCCCCTCGACGCTGTCCCCCAGACCTGATGAGGGGGCCTCCACAGAGGTGCCCCTGACGTGGGCTGCGTTGGCTCAGCTCCCCGTGGGGAGGCGACCGCATGACTGCCCGGAATGTGGCAAAGCTTTCGTCTGCCGCTCGGCTCTGACCAAGCACTGGCGCACGCATACGGGGGAGAAGCCCTTCGAGTGCACTGCATGTGGGAAACACTTCTCCGAGCGCTCAGCGCTCACCACGCACCGGCGGGTGCACACAGGCGAGAAGCCCTACGGCTGCGGGGACTGTGGTAAGGCCTTCAGCCAGCGCATGAATCTGGTGGTGCATCGGCGCACGCACACGGGCGAGCGGCCCTACGCGTGCGGGCGCTGCGGTAAGGCATTCCGCAAGGCATCGTCGCTGGTGCAGCACGAGCGCACACACACGGGCGAGCGGCCGTATGCGTGCGGGGACTGCGGCAAGGCCTTCAGCCAGCACATGCACCTCGTCGTGCACCGGCGCACACATACGGGTGAGCGACCCTACGCATGTGGGGACTGCGGCAAGGCCTTCAGCCAGAACATGCACCTGACTGAGCACCGGCGCACACACACGGGCGAGAAGCCGTTCGGTTGCCCTGAGTGCGGCCGCGCCTTCAACAAGAGCTCGGCGCTCACGCTGCACCGGCGCGTGCACACTGGCGAGCGGCCGTACGCGTGTGGGGACTGCGGCAAGGCCTTCAGCCAGAGCTCCTACCTCATCCAGCACCAGCGTGTACACCTGGGCTCCAGGCCCTTCGAATGCGGCCAGTGCGGCAAGGCCTTCGGCAAAAACTCGGCGCTGGTGCAGCACCGGCGCGTGCACACGGGCGAGAAGCCCTACGTCTGCCCCGTGTGCCACAAGCACTTCGCGGGGCGCTCGTCCCTGGCTGTGCACCAGGCTGCCCACACAGGCGCCAAGCCCTTCCAGTGCGGCCAGTGCGGCAAGGCCTTCGGGCAGAGCGCGTACCTCATCGAGCACCAGCGCATCCATACCGGAGAGCGGCCCTACCGCTGCGGCCAGTGCGGCAAGGCCTTCCTCAAGAACTCCTCGCTGACCGTGCACCGGCGCACGCACACTGGCGAGCAGCCCTACAGCTGCGCGCAGTGCGGCCGCTGCTTCAGCCGCAGCACCAACCTCACGCGCCACCTGCGCGTTCACACCTGAGCCCGGGCACCTAGACGGTCCCAGATCATCGGTTTCCCAAGCGCTGCGGACCTTGGGGTCTGTTTCCTCGTTGGTCAAGAGGCGGGGAGGCATGGGGACACCCGCCCCGCCCCCCTAACCTGTCTATAGGGCCAAGGGGGCAAGTTGAGAGGCAACAACCTCTTGGCTTCATTTTATTTTTCAGTAAATTACAGGGAAAAAGTGCTCTAAAAGCCAAAGTGCCCCAGAGTTTTAGAAGTAAAACGTTTACTTACGGGAAACTGAATTTTTCTTACGTATCCAACTGCGAAAGGCAGACGCCGCCCTGCCCGGCTCCCTGCTCCCTGCGGGCGCCCTGTGTGAAGGGAAGGACAGAGGCTATATACTAGAGTTTAAGGCACTGGCGGTGCGTTTATAAGTGAAACTTAAAGGACACTGGGAGACCGCGGGTGGGGACACGCCTCTCTGGTCGCTGCCCAGCTCCGGGTTCCGCCCCAGTGCCTCGGGCAGAGGTCTGGGTCTCCCGGGAGCAGGCGCGGAGTAGGCGACGCGGCCTGACCGCCCTCCAGCGTTCTCTCGCTTTCCCTCCTCCCAACCAAAGCTGGCCCGGGTCCTCCCGCGCCGCCCCAGTGACGGGCCCTTCCCCACCGCCGAGTAGCCGCGCCTCTGGGGTGGCATGGGGCTTTGCTTTCCTGTGCCTCGGTTTACTCATCTGCCGTCCGCGGGGGTCGGGTATGAAGATGCTGGCCTAGCAGGGCGCCCCCTCCCACCCCGCCCCAACATGGCACTAACGGACTCGGACACGGCTGACGCTGCCCCGTGTGCCGGTCCAGAAAGAGAAATCGCGGCGACAGACCGAGGACTAAAGAAGGGCTGGCTCGTAGGCGCCCCCGGGCGACAGCAGCGCCGGGGCACGTGACCCGGGAGAAGGCGGACTGCGCCTGCGCGCGGCTCTTCTGCTGAGGCCACGCCCCTGCGCGCTCCCAGAAGCTTCCGCGAACTGTCCAGGGTGGGTGGGAGAGGCTGGGAGGAAGAAGTTGGAGGGGAGGTGGAGGAAGGGTGGAGGGGGCTTAGGGCGCCAGGGGAGGACCCGGGAGGAGGGATGGAGCGGGAGGGAAGAGATCGAGTAGGGGATGGGGGGAGTGGGAGTCGAGGAGGGAGGAGCGGGTGGGAAAGGATGGGAGGAGGGGAGGAGAGCTGCGCTGAGCTCCCACTGGATCCCATTGTCGCTGGTCTGGTAGAGAACGCTGAGAAGGGACTTCATCTCTGTGTCTTGGCGTTCTCATCTATGTCTGGGAATCCTCCACTAGCTATTGTCGAGGAACTGATGACGGCCGGGCGTCCAGAACTGCACCGTCATCGTCACGAATGACTTGTATTCTTGCTCCCTGGGCTAGGGGGTCCCACACTGCACTCTGGCCTGAGGTTCGAAACAGTCTCCACAGAGCGCGTTGGTCTCCCCAGACCAGGGAGGAATATTCAGGGGGCAATTAGATCCGAAAACTCTCGGGGCCACCTGCCTCCCGGCCGGGGCCGGGTTCTACCCAGCGAGCTGGGGTGAGGGAGGTGCTTGTTTTCCGGTGCACAGACTCATAGCTGGAGGCAGGTGAGAGCATTTCCCCAGCACTTTCCCCCTCTAATTCATAACTCCGGGGTGTGATGGAGGCCATTGAGGTGGGGTGTGGACAAATTTCAGCTTTGTAGTGGGGTGGGGCAATGAGAAGGCGGCTTTGTGGCTCTTTTGAATCCCCTCAGCGTGCTCAGGGCCCCCCAGCTCTGCGCTCAGGATCACTCCTAGCTAGCATCTAAGCAGGATCAGCTGCATGCAAGGCCCATTCAGGAACTTCCTTCGTACAAAACTCATCAAGGATAAGAGAACCATTTTCTTTTAGAGATGGTTAACTCATCTTCCAACTCCCTCCTCCCGGGTTATCAGTTTCTTTGGAAACTTTTAAGAAATGCTCACATTTACACACATGCATGCACACACATTCACACACAGGGACGTATACACACGTACACGTGCACACACGAAAACACACATGTGCCTGCACGCATCTCTCAAGGGAGCCGAGCCAGCAGATTCTTTCTTGTCACTGAGAGTCTAGTTTCCCCACTCCCACACCCATAGAGGCTATCTGGGTTTCCATGGCAACCAGTGCTTTCTCACAGCAGGAAAGAAAAGACAGGCTGACTGGTGATCCCAATCTGATAGAACGCTGTGCATCAGTCATTCCACCTCCCTCGCTGGGTAGTGCAGAGATAGCAGGTCAGGTATGAGTAGCAGCTGGCAGAGCTGATTACTAGGTGTCTCTGCCCAGTGGTGGTGTTGCTGCATGCGTGGTGCTGGGACTCAGGAGGGAGCATCCTGTCGCTCTGATCCTGTCACTCAGAGGGGTCTCAGCTCTTCTGCAGCCCTTTTAAAATTATTTTGTTCCTGACAGTTTGTAACTGCATGTTCTTGTCAGCGGTCAGAACATACCAAACAAGGCAAGATCTCCTGCTGGCCTCACTGCCTCAGCCGTCTGCACTGCAGGGTGAGTAATCATATGGAGTGGGGTGTGTTGGTGGGGGGTGGCTTCTAGTTTTCCATTTCCATATGTATTGGTGATCTGTGCATACCTTTGTAGAATATGCAGGTTCTGACTCTTTTCCATATCCATAGAATGAGCCTGCCTAATAGTATCCTTTCTGTATTGACAATACTGGGAATGTATCAGTCGCATATCAGGAGGTATGTAATAGTACCTCTACACAAATTCTGGCAGTTAAACCTGTATATTATGTTTCATTGATGTTCAGATGCACAGTTTTTGTTGTTGTTGTTGTTTTGCTTTTTGGGTCACACCGGGTGATGCTCAAGGGTTACTCCTGGTTCTGCACTCAGGAATTACTCCTGGTGGTGTTCAGGGGATCATATGGGATGCTGGGGATCGAACCTGGGTCGGCCACGTGCGAGGCAAAAGCACTACCTGCTGTGCTATTGCTCCAGCCCCCAGATGTACAGGTTTTGTTTTTTACATCCTAGCATCATTACAGTGTGTCTTATAATAACCCATATCTTTAAATATCTTGTTTTTTATAGCTTGAACGATATATTATAAGCAACTATATTTTAATATTTTTTATAGCTTGAATATGTGTATAAGCAATACACATGCTGGCAAACTGATTACATTTATCCTGCACCATGGTGAGGGAGGAAAATTTGGTTGCATCTAATGTTCACAGGGCTTCCCTGTCTAGTTCTGGTTTCCAAAGAATTAAACCCTTCCTGTAAGCCTTCAATCCATAGAAAAAGCAATTTTATCTCTTGAGTTTTGCCATGCTGCGATTTCGAGATATATTATGAAATTTCTGGCCATAATTATCACTTCACAAAATGATGAGCTTCCACTATTCATGAACAGATAGGACCTTGCTAAATATGGCAGTCTTGTGAACATTTTTTTCTTCTTTTTTTTCTTTTTGGGTCACACCCAGTGATGCACAGGAGTTACTCCTGGCTCATTCACTCAGGAATTACTCCTGGCGGTGCTCGGGGGACCATATGGGATGCTGGGAATCAAACCTAGGTCGGCTGCGTGCAAGGCAAACACCCTACCCGCTATGCTATTGCTCCAGCCCCACATTTTCTTTTTAAACACCTTTTGTGTTTTTAGTCTGGCAAGCATTTAACAGGCATAAGTTAGTGCTGTTGGGGCTTTATCTGAGTGGAAGCAGGCTTTCATTTTTATCCGCAGCCAGCCCTCATCCCCCTCATGCAATGTCTTTGAGATCTTTCCATGCCTACAAAGATCTATTTTATTTAGCAAAATGAGGATATGACATTTTTAACTGACTTCATCTTGGTCAGGACTCAACAAGCTCTCAATAAATGCTACTTAATTTATAAAGATCTATCCTTACAACACTAGTCCCATCAATAGGTGTGTAGAAAAGTGCCATAGAATGGGGTGGGGGAGAGAGAACACATGTGTCTCTTATCAGACTTGAAATTTCATTATTTCATCCCAGATATCCACGACACTGAATACTTAAAGATTTTAGGCAATCTTGTTTTTTTTTTTTCACCCGAAGTATCTATTTTACCCCTTTACTGAATAAACAGACAAAATTTCAGGATTAGTGAGGCAAGAAAATCCTGGAATAAATTCTCACTGCCATCTACAAGTTGAATTTAGTCCTTCCCAAGGGACTTTGGGGCCCCAAGAAATCAGTGTTTGGAAATCTAAGCATCTAATGGAAGCTATGTGCCCCTGGGGAGAGGCCATGGTGAGGAGGTGAGCATGATGAACTTCACTTTGCCTCACTGGCTGACTTATTTCCTGTGGAATAATCCTTACTGATGGGCTTTCTGCCTTGCAGGACTCTTGTCTCTGGATAGAGCTGATGAATCAGAGGAGGGAGCCAGGACACGTAGCCTTGGATCAGTGTTGTGGCAGAGTCTTGCTCCACAGGGCTGCTGTGGTCTTGTATGACATGGTCTTCTATGACTTGACTGCTCAGATTAGGGCTGGCTCCGATTCACTCTTCATTTTGTTTGTTTTTGGGCCACACTTGGTGGTACTCAGGGTTGACTCTTGACTCTGTTCAGGGGGTTCATATATGGTGTTGGGGATCAAATCTGGCCAATCTTCATGCAGAGTAACACCCTGCCTGCTATACTGTCACATTGGTCCCTCACTCTTCTTGTTTATAATGCAATCAGTTGCCAATATTAAGATGCTGGGATCATCTTTTTTTTTTTAAATCAGATGTCACGTTTTATTCGTTCAGTCCTTCCAAAATAACATCAGACTTCTCAAAGGATCTAATATGTGCTGAGAAATGTTAGGTAGGGATGGTTCATAGATGAACTAGAAACAGTCATGGCCAATATCAAAGTCCACATTAGAGAAGCAAGGCAGACAACACCAAGAACTAAATAGCAATTGAGTTCTATTTCCTTTTGAGTCTGTAATCTCAGGAAGATGGCTAGAATAGTTTTGCAGTGGTTCTGGATGATCAGAGTTGAAATCAGAGATTCAAAGCTATCTTCCCCTTAGAGTCTGGAAATTACTCTCTTTAGGGAGTGTTGATATACCTCAAAGCATCCCCTGGAATATTCAGCATGTAGTAGGTGCTTTCTAAGTATCTCTCAAATTTATGGAGGCAGGTTTGGGTTACTTGATTATCATAATATTTGAGAATAACAAGCTTGGTCATTCAGCTTCTGATGCCATAGTGGTTAGATTCAGAGTTTAGGGTGGGGGCCAAACCCAGAAGTACTCAGGGCTTACTCCTGGATCTTCACTCTGGGACTGTTTCTGAAAGAGCTTGGGGATACCATATATGGTTCTAGGGATTGAACTCGAGTCAGCTGCATGCAAGGCTAGTGTCTTCAGCCCTGTACTGTCTCTCTAGGCCAGAGTGGCTGAATCTTATGCCAGGGACTCATTCCTGAAGACTTTGCGCAGTTCAAATGCCACACGAGGAAAGACAGGTTTTAACTGAAAAAGCATGACTGGCATGTCTACCCACTAATGACAGTGATGCTGAAACAACAGTTTGCAAAATGCACAATAGTGATATTAGAAAGGGTGTATTATAAAGTAATTTTACTTTGATTTTGGACCACACTCAGCAGTGCTCAGGGCTTGCTCCTGGATCAGTGCTCAGGAATTACTTGGTGGGCTTGTGAGACCAAATGGGGGCTGAGGGAATCAAACCTAACTCAGATGCAAGTCAAGTATCCTACCCACTGTATAATCACTCTGGCTCCAACTAATTTTAAAGTTTCAAGGATTCTTGAAAATTCCAGGAAATTCCACCAAACTCATGGTTTAAGTGTTTGTATTTCAAATTAGTGTAAAATATAAATCACTGTCACTGTCCTCCCATTGTTCATAGATTTGCTCGAACAGCCACCAGTTACATCTCACAACAAATTGTGAGACTTGTTGCTACTGTTTTTGGCATATCGAATATGTCATGCGTAGCTTGCCAGGCTTTGCTAAGCAGCGAGATACTCTCGGTAGCTTGCTGGGCTCTCTGAGAGGGGCGGAGGAATTGAACCCGGGTCGGCTGCATGCAAGGCAAACACCTTACCCCCTGTGCTATCTCCCCAATCCAGTATAAAATATAGGCAAAGTATATTATATGTTTATAATAATATTCTTCTTGTGACTCCCACCTTGCTGCATGAAAACTATGGCCATTGGGGTTGAGATATAGGTCAGTGGGCTGAGTACGCGCCTTGCATCATGAGGCTGATTTGCTCCTCGGCACTGCGTTATCACCATGCTCTGTTAGGAGCAACCCCTGAGAACAGAGTTGGAAACAGCTCCAACGCTGCCCCCAAAGCCCAGCCCCCAACACACACAACCATAATCTTGTCAATAGCTCACAAGAACCCCATGTCTTGCTCCCCACAATCCAAGAGTCTCATGCACGTTCCCTGTTTTCCTTTCTGTACATCTCTCCCCACACAGATGTTCTGAAACCTCATGATGATAACCTCAGTCAACTATACTCAGAACTTGCTGTCCGCAAAGCCAAAGCTGCCTCTTCAATGACCCATGGTTCTATCCGTCTTTGCTTTCATCCCACGCTTCCTAGGCCCCAGGGCACTTTGTTTCTAGGCTGCACGGGGCATTGGCCCCTGAGCATATGTGTTCTTTGAAAAAGCGACTAAAGGTAGAGAACAAGGGAACAGAGATTGTGAGTCTTAGCATCCCTCGGACCAGGAGGGTAGAGGGAGGCTAGCACCAATGGAAGGGCCACCAGCAACCAGTTCAGCACCACAGACAGAACTCCGAACCGCCCCACCACTGACAGTGAAAATGGCGACTCAGCACCATGGACAGGGACCAGCAGCCTCAGAGCTGTGCCTTGTGGGTGAATCAGGACCATGGACAGAGCCTAATTCTGCTTTGGCAGAAGCTTCTCCAGGCTACTGGAGCTCTTCCTCCACTAATGGCAGAGCTGGAGTCTCCAGTCCTTAACCCCAGAGTACTCCCATACTGACCTCCGAGGAGGAGCCTCTGAGGGCTAGAGCACAGCATCCTTACTTGACATAGTTCTGGGATTCTCCTGAAGCACAGAAGCACTACAGAGCACAGAGTTTATGCCTGGCACCCTCAAGGGTTCCGGGGTTCCTCACCCATGGCACCCCCATTCTCCATCACTGAAGCGCCTCAGTCCATTTCTGAGCTCTTTTCCAGCCCCAAGTACCGCCCCCTGCCCTGTGGCAACTCCCAACCACTTTCACTTCTCCCTTCAGAGCCTCACCCAGCCTCCTCCCCCACCCCCCAGCGCCCTGTGAAGCCAGGTGGAATGTGCCCAGACTCAGTGACTTCTGAGCACATTCAGGTGCTACTTCTCAGACAGTGCAGGCTCCTGGCCTTCTGTCTTAGTCTGCCACTCTACACACCACAATGCTGTCCCTGCTGTGGGCTCTGTCATGAAAAATTGTGCAGCCTTGCAGACTCTCATGTCTGGGGGTTGGAGGATAGTACAGTGGGTAGGGCATTTGCCTTACACATATCCCACTTGGGTTCAATCTCCAGCATCCCATATGGTCCCCTGAGCACTCTCAGGAGTATAGTACTTCCTGAGTGCAGAGCCAGAAGTAACTCTTGAACATTTCTGAGTGTGACCCCAAAACAAAACAAAAAAAATTCATCCATGTCATTGAGCATCTATTTGCTTATGTGACCCATGTAACAAGCTGCCTGCATGCTGCTTGCTCTGCCGTGGACAGATTCTGCAATGGGTTGGTTCTGCAGTGATTGGGCTCTCCAATGGACAAATACTGCAATGGAAAGATTCAGCAATGGATGGACTCTGCAGTTGACAGGCTCTGCAGTGAATGGGCTCTGAAGTGAACTGGTTCTGCACTGGACAGGCTCTATAGCAAATGGGCTCTGGGCATTGGACCAGCTCTGGGCAGTAAACTTGCTCATTAGTTGCTTGGCTGTGCAATGGATGAGTTCTTCAGTAGACAGACTCTGGGAGTGGGCTGGCTCTCGAAGTGGACAGGGCTCTATATTGGATGGACTCTGCACAGTGGACCAGGTCTAGGCCGTGGACAAGCTCCTGGCAGTGGACAAGCTCTGCAGTGAAAGGCTCTAGGCAGTAGATGGGTTCTGGGGAGTGGACCAGCTGTGGGAAGTGGATGAGCTCTGCAGTGGAGGGCTTTGGGCAGCAGATGAGCTCTGGGAGGGACCAGCTAACAGGAGTGGATGAGCTCTGCAGTGGAGGGCTCTGCAGTGTGTGGCCACCCCTACTCTGGGCTGCAGCATGTCTGCACCAGAGGCCTCCTTTCTCCTGGGGTAGGGGTTGTCTAAATAAGGCTAAATATTTTGTTTTCATCAACATTACCAGATTGTTTCCCAAAAGGCTGAATCAACACACACCTGTCCCACTCCTGCACCAGCAAACCCCTGCCCCAAGCCCATGCTGCACCTTGGCAATCTGTTTCCGCACAGGGTGCAGAGGGAAACAAGGCACTCAGAAATACTTTCATTTTCCTCCTCCTTTGTGTTTTTGTGTTTTGGGTCATACCTGTTGCCACTCAGGAGCCACCACCTGAGTGTGAGGTAATGTTTTGGGAATCAAACTGGGACATGCAGACCAGACTCAGATGCTTGAGCCCCTCCATGTCATATAATTATTGTGTGCATGTATGTGTTTGCCTATGCATATGAATGCATTTTTAGGTTCATATGTTTGTTTGTATGTGTGTGTGCATATCTGTGTCTGTTTGCATGTGTACATATGTGTATTTGTTTGCCTCTGTTTTAGCATGTGTGTATGTTTGCACATTTGAATTTGTGTGTATGTCTGTGTTAGCAAGTGTGTACTTGCATGTATGGGTGTCTGCACTTGTGCATATGTGTATTTGTGTGTCTGCTAGCATATGTGTGTATTTGCATGCACGTGTGTCTCTGCACACATGCCTGTGTGTGTCTATATGTGTGTCTGTTAGCATAGGTATATATTTACGTGTATGTGTGTCTGTTTGCATGTGTGCATTTGTGTGAATGTCTCTGTATTTGCACATGTATATTTGCATAAATGTGTGTCTGCACATGTGTATTTGTATGTGCAAACGTGTGTTTGCACAGGTGTGACTGAAATCCCTGTACCTTCCTTCTTGTTACTTGTCCCTCAGTTGTGCTGGTGTCTCATGGGCTCTCAGGCTGCGCTGCAGGGCTGGAGAGTGACTGATACGGTGTGTGTCCCCTTCAGGCTCTGAAGGGCCCAGACAGGCCAGACCGAAATGCAGAGCCTCAGGCCTGAACACTTCCGGGGACTGCTGGAGCCAGAGAGGATCCAGACGCTGCTGCCTCAGGAAAGCAAGGCCTGGGGGCAGCGCGGCACCTTCGTTCATGACTGGGTGGCTGTGGAAGTGGGCGTCAGTGACAGTGAGGACAAAGGTGAGGGCACAGCAGTGAGAACAGGGCAGGACCTGGGGGCCAAAACTGAGGGGCAGATCCAGGGTGGGCAGAGCTGGGGAGGGCAGATCAGAGGGTTAGACCTGGGGGGGTCGGTTCATGTGCTGAGCCCCAGGTCAGAGTCTGGGGGACAGCTATCATGGAGGCCTGCCTGGAAGAAGCTGTGTTACCTGTGTGACTGGGAGCAGGTGAACCAGGTGAAGGAAGGTGGGACCCAGAGGCTTGTTCTCCAGTCCCACTAACTCTCCTTTCCCTCTGGCAGAGTCTCCTGAGGAGGTAGATTTCTCCCAGGAGTGTAGCCCCATGGATGAGGATGAGGAAGAGCAGGAGGAGGAGGAGCTAGAGGAGCACCAGGTGAGTTGGGCCCTTTTCTCCAGTGTCCCCTGCAGCCCTTGGTGGGTTTACATTTAAAGTTTGGGGAGCCTGTTACATAAAGGTCTTTTGGGGGCTGATAGCCCCCCAGGGGCGAGCCAGTGCCCCCACATGTGCCTTTGGAAACTTTTATCTCTACATCATGGGCTGGAGATCTGCCCTTTGAAGTGTGTCCTTGTGAGGGCCCAGGCATGCAACTGTGCCGTCAACTGACCATGGAGCCATGTCTAAGCCTGTGTCACTTCTTTCAGGCTTGTGTGATCACCATGGGGACAATCACACAGTGGAAAAATTGCCTGCTGACACGTTTTCTGAGAAAGCACCCTGTCTTTAAGTGCTTTCCAGCTCGATGCCATGATCCTTTGTGTCTTTTCTTCCTGCCAGGCTGCTCCCCCTGAGGCTCTGTCGCCCACAGTTTCCAACCCTTGTGTTCATGAACTCCCAGCCTAATATTCTCCTGTGTTCTCCAGAAGACAGTGGTGACACCCTGTTTCTAACTTCTGTCCATCCCTCTCTGTTGCAGAGCTTTGTGGAGTGGCCAAGAGCAGCACAGCACTTGCCCGTCATGCTGGCCGTTTGCGTGCTCTTCCTGTTCCTGGTTCTGACGGGGATGCCCATGATGCTGATGCTCTAACTGTCCAGTCACCATTGGTGTATCCAGGGTCATGCTGGAGAGTGGCCGCTGCCCTGGACACCCCTTCTGAGTTGATTTTTTAAAAATTTACTTTCCTGACATGAGGTATTACATTGCCATATTTTATTGAACTGAAGACTTTGTGAGTTGCAAGATGCCTGGTATTTTCTATACCACTGAGGAAAAATGTTACTTAATGGTCAGATGCCACCAAGTAGCAGATCCACGCTGGCTTTAGAGAAGGTAACCAGAGCATTGACATCTGTCAGCTGTCTTCCTGTTGGAGGATCTTTGGGTTCCTCAGGTTGTGGCACACCGTGTTTTCAGAGGCAGAATTTTGCTTCTTGATGTTATTACACAGGGTCCGTATGTATGTCTTCCTGTGAGGGATTGGCTTCATTTTTGTTAAGTTTTGGCTTCATGGCTCAGTATGCGAAGAAGGGAAGATTTTATCCTCCTGGGTGCTTCTGACTGGTCTCTGCACCCTGAGTTTTGTCCATGCCTAGACGTTTGGGAAGAGTCTGCCTGAAGCAAACCAGCCCAGGAGCCAGCCACACACATTCATTCCCTTGGCAAGGTGTTCATTCTTCTACCTCATGAGTTTTTGTGATTGATAGTATTCTTTGTTTCCTAAAAAATGCTCACTCTCCTGTGATGTTTCAATTGATAAAGTTTAGTGACACTGTACTATTTTACTATTTTGCCAGTTAGCAAAGCTCTTTCTTTTATTTGGGCCCGTGGTCTTTCTGACTTACAATTTCTGTTTGTGATTTGCTATTAACAGATTTTTTTCAAAATTTTATTCATCTGCTATCATTTTTCCTGAGAACTAAACTCACATTTATTTATATTCATTTCCCCCTCTATCTTTTTAATATTTTTATGAATAGTTTTTTTAAAAAAGTATTTAAATGCTTTGCACAAAAATTTAGCTTGAATACTTTATTTATGGGCTGGAGCGATAGCACAGCAGGTAGGACATTTGCCTTGCATGCAGCCAACCCGGGTTTGATTCCTCTGCCCCTCTCTGAGAGCCTGGCAAGCTACCGAGAGTATTTTGCCTGCACAGCAAAGCCTGACAAGCTACCCGTGACATATTTGATATGTCAAACACAGTAACAACAAGTCTCACAATGGAGACGTTACTGGGCCCGCTCGAGCAAATCGATGAACAGTGGGAGGACAGTGGACAGTGGACTTTATTTATATTATCTTTCTACAAAATGCTTTGCTACACAGTATGCTTGATCCTATAAAAGCATTTCTGGTTATAGCTTTGGGCACACCTTAAAATTTGTTAATTCATGTTCCAATTTATTTTGTTTAAATAGTATAAGATTTCTAAAAAAGCATTCTGGAATTCAGTCATTTGGTTGTTTCTTATTAAAATATACTTTAATTCTTAGATTCCTGTACCATCATATATAATACATCTGCTTTGAAAAGCTTGAATTGTGGCCAAGGTCATATTCATTGTTTGTCCACATTTTACAGTCAATTAGAATGAACATATATTTTCCTTCTGTAGAATAAAAATTCTCCATGTCTATCAGTTGTCAATCTTAACACTTACACTACTTATTCATGTCTTGTATTTCTTTTCTCTACTATGTCTGTCAAAAACCAGCCAGGTTATGCAAACCTCTGTTAGTATGACTGCAAACCTATTTGAACAATCATCTTTGCTTTCTGTATTCAGCAGCTGTGTGACCTGATGCATGTAAGTCAGCATCGTTATGTCGTTGGCACTTTGGTTGTACATAAGCACCAAGCCCAGAGCCAGACTTAAAAGTCTGCAGAACCCAGCAGCTTGGAGCAGAAAAGTGAACGGACTATGCGTTAATCCAGGCCATCAGGTCTGTCCGGAGGGGAAAGGGTGTTGCCCCAGTCGCCTTCTCCTCTCTGGAAAGAAAGATGGCGGCCGCATGGGAGCCTTGTGGACAGCAGGTATGAGCCGAGGGACTGGGGGCGACTAAAACCTCATGGGAAGGGGGGCGTTTCGGTCCGCCCTTCACGCCCTACCGAGGCCACCAGTTGCCCCCCACTAGCGGCTCTCCAGCACGGCCACGACTCCAGAGCACAGAAACCAATTTCTTAACTATCTGACTTTCAGTAGAAATACTTCCAGGGTCAATAAGTAAAATAGCAGAAATTCAAAACTAACATTTAATTCTTGAACCCAGCTGTAGAAAGCAAATCACTTCACAATGCTTTTTCAGCATGTCTGATTTGGGGAGGGGGGGTAAACTCTAAATAATAGTGGTGAATCTTTTATTGAAACAATGAATCTAATCAAAGCAGATAGAGTGTTAACTAGAATTCATCTGCCCCACAGGGACTGGGAGGGGTGGGGGATGGGGTTTTATTGGGGTTCTTCATGGTAAAAAATGAGTATTGGTAAAGGGAAATGTGTTTGATATTTGCATGACTGAGACCTAAACCTGAAAGCTTTGTAACCTTTCCCACGGTGATTCAATAAATAAATAAATAAATTTAAAAAAATGTTGAGAAGGCAAAAGCAGAGGGGTAATTGTGGCAATTTGATTTAGCCCACTTTACAAATGCCTTATAATAACAAAGCCACAATTACATTTCAATAGGTAGGCTAAAATTCCCACACAGACATAATGCCCAAAAGTAGAGAGAAAGTATGGGGAATATTGTCTGCCATGGAGGCAGTGGGAGGGTGGGAAAGGGGGGTATACCAGGATATTGGTGGTAGGGAATGTGTACTGGTAGAGGGATGGGTGTGATCATTGTGTGATTGTAACTCAAACATGAAAGCTTGTGACTATGTCATGGTGATTCAATATAAATAAATAAATAAATAAATAAATAAAAATTCCCAAACAGAAAAAAAAAGTCGGCGCTCAATAAATGTCATCACATTCTAATTTGGATGTGTCAAATAGATATTGGCCCCGACCCAGGGCACCCTGCTCTGCAGTGCTGGTTGTTAGTGGGTGAGATTGGTCGACTAGGGTGTCTCATTTATAGATTTGAGAGCAGGGTGCTATGAGAATCTGGGGTGCAGCAGGGACCAGAGTGGTGGGCCCTCAATGCGACTTTCTTCCTGTGTGACCTCCAGTGATCTGTTCTGGGCTTGGGTTCCGTGGGGCCAAAGTCGGGGTCTGAGGATGGACAAACGGAGCGTGGAAAGGTACCAGGTGCCATCGATCCAGGTGACTCCTCAGGGGCGATCTCAGAAGTCCCCACTGCTGTGTGCGCGTGCTCTCTGGTGGCACCGGGGCCAAGGACCCACCGGAAGGACCCTGCTCAGGCCCTTCTCCGCTGCTCCCATTGCTGTCTCCTCACCCTGCTGAGAGGAAGAAAGGAATAACCCAAACAGTTCCCCATTTGTGCCACCAGGAAAGGGCTGAGGGCGTTCTTTGGGGGCACCCTCAGTCCTGTGTGCATCTGCCCCAAACTATCTCCCACGGTCCCTGTGACCTCAACAGGACAATATGGCCCAATGTAATGAACCTGAAAAATTTACAAAGGGCTAGAGGGATAGTAGAGGCAGGGTAAGGCAGTTTGCTTTATACATGGCCAACCGCATTTTAATCCCCCACCCTCCCAAAGAGCCAGAAGTGAGTTCTGAGCACAGAGCCAGGAGTCATCCCTGAGCACAGAGGCAGGAGTCAGCGCTGAGCACAGAGCTGCCCCCTAAAGGTGACCCCACTTCAGCTCTGGCAGGAACAGTCCCCTCTTCTGTCCCCAGTGGGTGGCATTTGGTTGTGGCTGCCCACCTGACACCCTGTGTTGGGGGGTCCCTTCCTGCCCCCACTTTCCACTCCAGATGCAGTGGCATTGGGGGCTGTAGCAGAACGAGGTTTCTATGGGAAACTGAATTCTCCAGACCCATTTTCTGAGCTCACTTGAGTGCATGTGCGTGTGTGACACACTGAAGCAGCTGGATATTCCAGGGCGCTGATGGTGATCATGGCATCCACGGAGCCACAGGCGCAGACAGGTGGCTGCAGGAGAACTTGGTGGGAGAAAAGCCAAGTGTCACCTGTGTGAATGTGGGGGGACAGACTGGACCTCAGTGTGAAGCACTGACTCTGCGTGGCCATGGTGGGGGAGCAGCGCTGTGGCGTCAGGAAGGAGGGCCAGGAAGGAGGGTCAGGAAGGAGGGCCAGGAAGGCAGGTGCCTGATGTCAGCATCTGGTGGGTACCTGGTGTACCCTGGTGTCATTTAAAGGAAACGACTGAGGAAAAGGCAGAAAGAAGGAGAGTTTTTAGGTTTTTGGGTCACACCTGGTGATGCTCAGGGATTGCTCCTGGGTCTGCACTCACAAATTACTCCTGGTGGTGCTTAGGGGACCATATGGGATGCCGAGGATCAAACCCAGGTCAGCTGCATGCAAAGAAGACTCCCTACCCGCTGTACTATCGCTTTGGCCCCTCTTTTCTTTTCTTTCTGTCCTTTTGGGTCACAGCAGCCAGCGATTCTCAGGGGTCATTTCTGGCTCTGCACTTAAGACGTGTTCGGGGGACCAAATGGGATGCTGAAGATTGAATCCCGGTCAGGGGCATATAAGGCAAATGCCCTACCCACTGTGTGCTGGGCAACACTGTAGGCTCCACTGCACCCATCACTGTGCAAAGGCAGGCCAGCGAGGCCGCAGAGGGAAGGAGCAGCTGGGGGTGCAGTGTGGTCCAGGGTCCATGATCACCCATGTCCATTCTCCATGGACATGGCACCCGCAGAAGCCTCATGCTGAGAATTGGCTCAGAGGAAAATTGCATTTGCTTGGGCTGGTCTTTTTTTTTGTCGTTGTTATTGTTGTTTATTTTTTGGGGGGTCACACCCCTTGATGCTCTGGGATTACTCCTGGCTCTGCACTCAGGAATTACTCCTGGCAGTGCTTGGGGGGACCATATGGGGTACCAGGGCCCAAACCTTGGTGGGCCTTGTGCCAGGTAAGCTCCCTATCTGCTGTCCTATCGCTCAGGTCCTGAGCTGGTGGTAATGTGGATTTGATGTGCATATGTTTGTTAGCATAATGCTACATTTCATTTAATCTGATATTTTATTTATTTATTTAGG